CATAAATACGAAGGGTAGGAGAGGCATAATACGGCAGATCTGTGCAAATGACGGATTGAATATGCATGCTATACACAATCTCCCTATACGTGTATATCAAATTGCCAGGTGACATTCCGTTACAAAGTATCTTGTATTCTATCGCAGTTACACTGATAAATGGTCGCGGCTGTTTTAATGCATGCGTAGCCTCCTCAAGGCAGACATAATCACTGGTTTGGCTAACGTTAACTAGAAGAATCATTAGAAATAAGGCAACACCGGATAGCTGTTTTGTCGTCTTCAGCAGAAAACACGAATTATTCTACCAAGGAGTGGATCTTAAGCTGTCATGGTAACAAACGAACCTGCTAATATCCTGCTAGTGATTTATGACTTCTATTTTCTGTCAGTTAAATTTCAGTCAATCTCTATGTGATTACTTCTCACATCTGAAAAGACTATTTTCACAGGACTACCGGTGTGGTGAGAGCAGGCCGTGAGAAAATATGTACAAGGCTGATTTACCAACCAATCACAGCAAAGTTAACGTGGCAAAATATGATTCGCAGATAGAGAACTCTATTTGTCGAGGAATCCCTAAACAACCAATCAGATGACTGCGCTTGTCTACTTGCATAAGCTGTAATAATGTATGTGAAATATATATAAATACGTGTTGATTTCCATAATAAAACGATCTGTTGCCTTGGCCCTTGTCTTCTGTTGTTACATTTGGTGTCGCTGCCTACCGACAAATGGAAAGCCTATGTCCTGCAGTTTTTGATGGAGGCATATGGATCTTCGGGCAGGACTTCAAGGCTTCTGCGCAGTTGAGTGGCGTTCAAGATCTGTCAGCGACGGAGCTGCTACTTGGAACGCTGCTGGGAGGTTGGGCGAAAGCAGCATATGAAAGTGTGAGCCGAAATAACGACGAATGCTCAACAGGGTCAGGCAAACAGTTTCCAAAGTGGGTGGGACCACATATGGTCACGTCGAGATGGGGTTACGCAGACACAGTCGCAATAGCGAACAATGAGAGGCGCGTGAATGTTAGCGAGCTCCAGAAATGGATACAGCGAGACAAGCCTACGATGACGCCTGCACCAAGACGATCAAGCAGACTTCGGTCGCAAGTCTTTGACGTGGGGACGAGTGTGGTGAGAGCAGGCCGTGAGAAAATATGTACAAGGCTGATTTAACAACCAATCACAGCAAAGTTAACGTGGCAAAATATGATTCGCAGATAGAGAACTCTATTTGTCAAGGAATCCCTAAACAACCAATCCGAAGCCTGCGTTTGTCTGCCTAACTTCTGATAAACAACCAATCAGATGACTGCGCTTGTCTACTTGCATAAGCTGTAATAATGTATGTGAAATATATATAAATACGTGTTGATTTTCATAATAAAACGATCTGTTGCCTGGCCCTTGTCTTCTGTTGTTACACCGGGAAATTAGGTAGTTCTGTTGTTAGGATGTGCAAGGAACCAATTTATAACTAGAAGTGATCGGTAAACTTCAGCTAATTCACCCATAAGTTGTTGATTTACTAATCAATAAATATAGATCTCTGATTCACCTGAGCATTGAGATCCACACCTTCGATTGATCACTAAGTTTCTGACGAATTTTAAAACCCATGGATAATCCCCATCTAATGAAGAACAAAACACGTAGTTCAGCGAACAGTCTCTTCTCGGCAACGAATTCATTTTCATAGCTGTACAATCGCAAATACATATGCAGGTTATTTTGTATGTGTGTACATTAAGTTTGTCAAACAAAATTACAATTGGTTAACTAGACAGGTGAAGATTGGGGTAACTGAAATTATGTAATACGAAATCAGTCAAGAAAATTAGGTGTTAATGTAACTAGTGTAGTAATAAAGGTGATAAGTTGTCACAAACATTTGTTAAAAAAGAAATTATGTAATGATATGAATAGTTTGATGGTTGAGTTGTACTCAGGATGCACATAGAAACAAAGTAGATAATACAAAATTACGTAGGAGTTCTAAATGAATAGAAGAATTATGAGGAATAAAAGAACAAGCAGACAAACAAAATTAAGTCATCAAAATTAACAAAGTTGTTATCATGACAGTAGAAGTGATTGAGTATTCTCCTTTGTATGCACTTCTATGTGCGTATATCAGTTCACCTGTTGCTGTGGAGGCAGCTAGCTACATCAGTTGTTCGACGTGCATCCTATCCAGGAGGATTCAAGAACACTATCCAGCCAGCATGGTTTAGAAAAGGCAATAGTGGTGCAATAAGAAGTGCGATAATTGAACACCTGGGGTTAACATCGACCATTCCATTTCAACAAACACCTCCTGCTTCAAAGTAATCTGCCCATAGAAATCCATGATTGAATAGCGGATTCTAATGATTAATTCTCATACGACCGGTTCTACTTGAACTCACCTATCCTAAATAGAGAATTCACGTATCAAGTTACGAACGACGCTTATCGTGCGTGTGAGTGTGGTATGATTATACTACGCAGTGAGTAGAACCGTATTCCACCACAGATGTCATCTGCTGAAATTAGACCACCAAAACCAATCAATCAGTCATGTCTCCACCCACCCTTATGCAATAATTTATGTTCACTAAAGATCCAGTGCTGTTTGCATACTCAACTCATGGGAAGAAGAAGAAGCGAAAATTGCTCAATTTTTCGTAAGGAATCTCTATTTGAGATGGTGTGTTGTTTATTTTTCCTGAACAATTAACACTACTTCCAAAGCAATGATTATGATTGTCGTATTATGTTCTATTCTGTTTAATCAATGAAGTTCTGTATCCTCCTCACCTTATCGCCTGTTTGCTTAAATTAATAAGTGTTATGTACTACTGCTGAGTGAGTTATTAGAGTTTTCCCCGTCGCCAATTATGTTATGTACACGTCGAGTAGTTAATAGTCCTGACGCAGAAAGAGGGAAATCAGAAGACCACGAGGTTTACGATGATACTTGTATTTTCCAGACAAGGAAAATAAATGTCACACAAGAGTGTGAGTGCAAGGGTACTTAGATGTACGAAAAAGTTTGTGAACAAGAGTAAACAAGAATGATAAAGCAAGAGTATATATGAAAATGGCTAATACACATGAACCAATAAGATAACGTCTTATCATGATTGGTTGTAATGTCATGTGATAATAGGGTCATACATTGTTTATTTAGTTAGTGGACAGACAAAAGCATAATGTCAGTTATAATGGAATATCGATCCATGTACACAGCAAAATATAATAGACTATCAGAAACAAAACACACACATCATGTGGATACATATCAATAAGTACTTTTCGAACCAGCAGGTTAATTCCAGAAAGACCGAGGAAAACTATATTCCCATTTATGAGTACGCCTATTTTATAGGGTAAACAAAACCAGCTACCATGGGGGTATCTGCAGAATACCACTCAATAGGCACTGGGAGACGATCTGTTAACTCGTGTAAAGTCCTACACCATCAGTAAGTGAAATCTACACTAGCTCTGGACTTGTTCATGCATTCATTCATTGTCGCATCATTCTATAGTTTGCAATGCGCTTACCAGCTGAGTTGCCATCACCTCCAACTTTCCACTGGTATTAAATGGTTGGAGGCAATTAGCACAAGCCCCCGTCAACCCCTCAGGTTCTATGCTTGTTCACACTCATCAAAAAAGTGTGTCTTCAACATTGATGCAATTCACATCGCATGTCAGATACGAACCCTCGTCGCCCAGTCTTACAATCAAAGAAACCACAAGTGAGTTATTCGGAATCATCACCGAACAACTATCTAACATCAATTCAGAACGAAGAGCGATGGCAAATCACCTAACCCTAGTGACCACATTGTAAACTAGACTGACAGAATCCAGTCAGTGATGACACCAAGGACTGGACACGCATCCCACTGGTAAATCCCACAGAGAATCAATTGTGAGTCCTAACAGGTTCGGTAATAATCCCTCTGACTACAGCACTACTAGGTCTTGAATACCCCTTGCTTATTGACGAGTGCCAACAAGCCACAGTTGCCTGCATTCAACACCAGCCTCAAGGTTTCCATGATGATATTACACCATTTTTACCATATAGCCACAACCTAAGTGGAGTCATCGATGATTAAGGACGGAATATTTAGCAGGTCGCCCGTTGACCTTCATGAGGCTTATGATACACAACTTTGAGAAACCGTAACCAACCCCAGGTGGAAAGTATCATTGAACTCAAGCACGACTAATTAACTAGTCACAAAACCCGGAATCGTTTTACACATTTGATGATTTACTATATGGGGTGGGTTTGGAATAATAATATGAATCATACACGAAGCACCCACAAATATGGGGGCCGAGTAAACAAGATTTCGCGTGTAATTGCAATAAATATTACCAAATCCCTGCTCAACATTCAATCATCAACATGAATAGCTGACTGCCCATTCCAGTATTCCCGTGATGAAGTAGGTCAGAGTTAGAATGCGAGGAAAGTAGTATATCAGTCGATAAGATTGTACAGTAATGTTAGAAATGGGATGCTTTATACGCACTAGGACGTCATATTCCCGAAAAACTTGAATGTAGGCCCCAGTGTAGGGCTAATTCAGACAACTATCGGTTTGATAGAGACACTGGATACCCCCACCGTTGAAGTCCCTGAGGTATCTATCAAACAATCCAACAAATTGACAGTATGACAACTGAACTCATGTCAGGTAGCAACAATAATGTACACGTGTCTTCTATTTTCACGATCACCGAACGAAAGAACTGGAACAATCACGGTTTTTCGTGATCCTTCGTTGGTCGTGTGTCGTGGCAGGAGCAGTAGTATTTCAAAAAAATTCAACAAGAAAAATACGAGTTTATATTGAACAATATTCATATTAGACACACACACACACAATCATCAAGGAAATATTTACAGTTGATCAGATCAATACATTTCACTGTACACATGTTGAAGAGAATTGAAGGACGATATCAAAAAAGGTGCATAGAACACTTCAATCAGACAGATGACGAAGAAAAAGAAGTTCTCTCTACAATTTGGTTTAAATCAAGTAGTACTTTGTTCAGTTGTTCAAAGGATATTTGACATTTTGAAACCTACAAAAAAGCGGGAAAGGAATGAAAAAAGAAATAATTTCCAGCTATGCATGCATACATGCATACAAGAGAGGAGGAGGAACATACACAAATGAATTAACTGAAAACTCAATTGTGTTTTTTCATAGTTTGTTAACAGTCGTGGTTTTAGAATATATAACTAGGCAGAGTCTGGGAAGCGCAGAGGAAGTCCTGTCGGGTTGGTGTAAGTCACTGATTATCCCCATATTCAGTTCCTTGGGGACAACATCAGCGAGATACTAACACAGCGGCTTAGAAATGAGGCGGTAAAAAGGGCATTCCCAACTGCTGCCGAATTACGCTAAGTTTTCAAAACCACTCCTCTATTGCCTTCTTCCATGTGTGTGTATCTACCAATTTAACTGCTCCTGTGAAGGGAGCCAGTTACATAGGCCGTACAATTAGGTGTGTTTCTCGTCGGATTTCCGAACATCACCCCCTGTGTTGTTGGTTAAGTAAAGGACAAACAAAATCTATTCACATAGCTCTATCTATCTCATCTTGTGATACATAACACAAGATTGATGTCAACGAGGCGGCTTTCAAAGTCATTTACCGCAAACCAACAAAACATAGCTTCGCCTTAAGAGTTCGACTACTAAATATTGCTGAGGCAGGCTGTTGAGATCCATATTAATAAGACTAATTTAGGTGTCCAAAAGAAGTTGGTTCAGACATTATCCTTACCTTAGCCATTTAGGTTTGAATGATCCTGAATTTTTGTGAAATTTTTCTAATTTTAGTTGATATTCTAGTTGCTATTATATTATTATTATTATTCATGCATCTTTGATGAAATCTAATTTAAATGATCTTACTTTACAAAACGACATTATTTAAAAACCACCAATATTGTTATTGACTACTATTCTAGAACATTCTGTGTATATTACCACATATATATAATTGTAGAGCCAGAAGAGGAATTTATCGAAAGGATATTCTTTGCTCAATTATTTTGTGACTTTCATAGATGTCTGAATGAATATTTCTGCTATAATATTTTCATATCTAACTAAATTGAAGGATATTCATGTTAAAACCGGTGGATACACATATTTGTTATCACATATGATGCCCTATGCTTTCACACAAATCAGCACTTTTATGACTGACTGAACGACTGTAAACTAATTTCCACATACACACTGACAAGTAAAACCATCCATTAAATATTCCTCTTACTCAAAATGTGCGTTTCAGGAAGCTAATACACCCGTAAATACCGACTAGTTGTGAGGGAACGCCGCAATATTAAAACCAACACAACATTCTAATCCTCTGAAGTTAGGTCACGAAATGACTGACGTCACTCAGTCACACAGTTACTGAAAACTATTACCAAAGGGATGTTCACCACTTCTTGGTGCTTTTGAATATTTTCCCTGAACTCAAATCTCTTTCGGATGGAACTCGGAATCAACCCAATCTCCCCCACCCGCCCCCCGCCGCCACCGCCCGAAAACTAACACATTTCAAAGTTATTCTTATTACCTCCTGAAGTTCCTTCTCTTCTTCGTCTATCTGTTTCATTGTGCATGAGATGCATCGAGTAATACCAGACAATTGTTTCGCCAAAGCTTCTTCTTCAGCTTCAAAGGAATTAATCTTTTTTGATCTTTCTTCATTATCAGATTCATATGCCTAGTAAGCAGACGGAGCACAGGGAAACATAAACATCATAAACAACAATATTGGTAAATTATACAGAATAGTAAAAATAGGTGTTGACAATGAATGCTCATCAATGATAAAATATATTCTTTGTCGAGAAAAAAGAGGTCTCACTGAATAACACATATTAATGTACTGTTTGTCCCATTGTCCATCTGTCTGTCTGTTTTTGACATAGAACTTCGCACCGATGTGCGGAAGTTCAAGTCGCCACACTCCATGTACCACACAAAGTAAGAGAAGAAATTACAAGAAAACCATAACAGAGACAGTGTAAGCACAGGTGTGAGACAAAGGAAGAGTAATAACGAAGAACAAAACAGTTTCATTGAAGATCATAAGTCACAAGGAGTGGATGCATCTGCGCCACTGAGAACGATTTTGAGCCATGTCACCAACTGTTTCCAACCATTGGTTTTTACCGTCCCGAGGACCTTAACCAGGAAGTCTACACTTTCCTATGTGGCTGGCTTACACTAACTGTTGTAGATTTCATTGACTGGTCCCATGTTTTCTTTTGACCTCCGCTAGCTTTTTTCCAGCCTGACCATATATCCGCTAACATTGCTCGTCGAGGATGGCGATGACTAGGCATACGTAACACATGTCCTAACCATCTCAGTCTTTGTAACTTCACAACTTCGTCGATTGATTTTCCCTGTTTACCTAGAACTCGACGCCTAACCTCAATATCGCTCACCTTATTATGCCACTTTACACGGGACATAGAACGCAGGCATCTATGATCAAAGACAGCTAATCTTTTCATGTCTTCCACTCTCAGTGGCCAGGTCTCACAACCATAAAGGAGGACGGAGCAGACTGATGAGCAGTACACCCGCCCTTTGGTCGATAGTCGAACATCTCGTCTACGCCAGAGACGGCGTAAACTGGCATATGCGAAACTAGCCTCTGTATCCGTGCTTAGATTTCCTCAGAGATCAACCCGTTGGGGCTGATGGTACTTCCCAAATAAGTGAAGTGGTCAACGTGCTCTACAACTTGACTTCCTATTTTTAAACTAGGAGTCGCCGCAGTCCAGTCTTGTAACATCATCTTACATTTGGCGGGAGGGAATCGCATGTGCTGTTCAAGGTGTTTAGAAGACTCTGCATTTTTTCAGCGTCCTCGCCTAGCAGCACTATATCGTCTGCATATTCTAAGTCAACGAGATTATTCCCTGGTAGCAAGTCAATCCCTGAGTCGCTGAAGTCACTTAGGGTTAAGTTCATTAGTACATCTATGATGAAGTTGAATAGAAAAGGGGATAATGGGCATCCTTGACGGACACCACTAGTCGTCTCCATTTCAGATGACAACTCGCCGTAAGCCCTCACCTGGCTGTATGAGTACGAGTAGAGTGCCTTAATCAATGCAGTGTATTTTCTCGGCATTCCCTTTACAGCCAAGCATCTCCAGGGAACCTCTCGGTCGACAGATTCGAATTCCGCCTTTATTTCAAGGAATATAGTGATTGTTGGGCGCCGGTGGTGAGTATGCCTATGTTCTAGAATTTGTCGAAGGATGAAGATATGATCAATACACCCTCTTTTGTCCCATTGAGCAAGAGATATCGTCTCATCAACAATATCAACAAAGTGTAAGGTTGGTAATAACTGCAAAAGACAGCGTTAGTTGTTCAATGGCAGGCGGCTTGACGTGATAACCACAATCAGACAAAAGCAGGTTACCACAAGTGCCATCTTAAACCTCAACTATAGTTTACTATACTAGCCGTCTAGCAGTCTAATGTCGTCAGTGTAGTAACCACCACCTCATCTCATAGATAAATAACACCAGCCACCCTGAAACTCTTAAGTTCCGTTCTACTCCGAACGTAGGGGAATAAACAAAGCAAATAGTTCTCAAGGGATGAACCTTTTTATTCTTCACTCAATAAAAATAAGGTTTACAGGATTTCATCAAGATGGATAATAATAATAATAATAATAGCACTAGAATAACTCATTACACACACCACACCATTGATGACATTCGACTTCAAGGCAAGTAAGATGGTGTTTCAAGATGACAAAACTCATCAATAAATAGCGAAATCTATCAACAACAGTCATGCAACCTTAATCAGTAGTTGAATGGTCACAGCGCTGGACTCGTAACCTGAAGAACCCGAGTAGCATAGACCCCTAGAAGCATGCATTGTGCGTGCGTGCACTACTGCTGAACTGTCCCAAAATAATGCACGACGACGAGACAGCTATCCATCCAATTTTCCCTGATTTTCAAACACTCGCTGACAATTTAATCAGGCGGAAGGGTCGATTACATTAGCTCAACACAAAGAGGGAGAGAGACAGATAGACAGACAAAGTTAAATAACAATGTGGAGACGTGGCGGCTCAACGGTTTCACCACCTACTCGACTTTTAGTCACAGAAGGCTCTCACAGTTCGAATCCTACTCCACCACCTACTACTTTGGTGCGACCTAAACTTACCAACTAACTCGGTGGCACAGTGCTTAGGACTCTCGCCGACCATGCACATGGTTCGAGGTTCAATCACCTGCCGACGTACACCTGAAAAATTTGGGCTACCGATATCCATGCTGAAAATTCCATACTTGTACCAAAAATACAGTGTGGAATCAGGCTGTAATCAAAGATAAAATGAATAAATAGTATCATCAGCTCTCCCTCACAGAACAAGTGTGACGGGCGACACACAGTCACAAAGAAGATGAAAAACTTCTTCTAGGAATTCGATTCAAACAACGAATAACTGTAAAAGACAGTTGTTGCTATTTTTCTTCCCCGTCTTATTATTATTATCACTGTCATCATTTTTTTATTCCTTCACGTTCCCCAGTGGAACATAACGAGGGCTTCAAGCTAGAGGCTTGAAGTTTCTGTAGCAGCGTTTTTATTTTTACAGGATGGGGTTGCTAGCCTCATGCCCAATCTTTCCTCTTTACCAGCTTTTATTTCTGGCAAAGTGAGGTAAAGGAGTGCGTTGGTGGCCGGGGATCGAACTCCGGACCATGTGTATGGTCGGCGAGCGTCCTAACCGCTGTGCCCCCGATGCACATTATCATCATTAAACTAAACTCTAATCGATGGAGTATAACAGAAAAGCTGACAATACACGCTGGGGGAGAGTATTATAAAATATATATGTGTGTGTGATTTACCTTCTTCCTGTTATTCAATAACAACCTCCTTCTCACTGTATGTGAGTGATATTCAGCGAACTGTGCATCTACTTCTTCCACTGCCGCCTGCATTTTCTTATTATCTTTGTTTAGTAAATCCACCTTTCCTGCATATTCCTGGAAAACAAATAAAGCAATAAATAACTTTGAAAAATCACAGATAAATGCATAAATCGTACATAATGAGCATAAGACAAAAAATATGCAACAAAAGAAATGTTAACTCACCACTCACAACATTTCAAATTCAAAGCAATTCAATCGATCAGCAGATGATCGATCGATCACGAACTGATTGACTTCGATTAGACAATCAGTGAAAACCAACGCGGAGTGCTTGACATCTGATGCATCAATGTCTGGGACTTCTCTCAGTAGTACACACTCATCACTCACATCAAATATAACAAATCATAAAACCCACGCGACGACCAACAAGTTAACAAGGCCAGTAAGTATACAGTATTCAGTCACAGGGAGGGAAGGAAACCAATAACTTGTGGACTGACTTCTGTCACAATTCACGATACACCGCCATCACCACCACCACCACAAGGTAATGTCATCAAGGAGTATCAGTCAGTCAGTTATCACACCCAACTACTTCGTGCATTAAGGCACTCTATTCGTACTCATACAGCCAGGTGAGGGCTTACGGCGAGCTGTCATCTGAAATGGAGACGACTAGTGGTGTCCGTCAAGGATGCCCATTATCTCCTTTTCTATTCAACTTCATCATAGATGTGTTAATGGACTTAACCCTAGGTGACTTCAGCGATTCAGGGATTGACTTGCTACCTGGGAATAATCTCGTTGACTTGGAATATGCAGACGATATAGTGCTGCTAGGCGAAGACGCTGACAAAATGCAGAGTCTTCTAAACACCTTGAACAGCAATCTACGAATGTTTGGCATGCGATTCGCTCCCGCCAAATGCAAGATGATGTTACAAGACTGGACTGCGGCGACTCCTAGTTTAAAAATAGGAAGTCAAGTTGTAGAGCACGTTGACCACTTCACTTATTTGGGAAGTACCATCAGCCCCAACGGGCTGATCTCTGACGAAATCTCAGCACGAATACAAGGGGCTCGTTTCGCATTTGTAAGTTTACGCCGACTCTGGCGTAGACGAGATGTTCGACTATCGACCAAAGGGCGGGTGTACTGCTCATCAGTCTGCTCCGTCCTCCTTTATGGTTGTGAGACCTGGCCACTGAGAGTGGAAGACATGAAAAGATTAGCTGTCTTTGATCATAGATGCCTGCGTTCTATGTCCCGTGTAAAGTGGCATAATAAGGTGAGCGATATTGAGGTTAGGCGTAGAGTTCTAGGTAAACAGGGGAAATCAATCGACGAAGTTGTGAAGTTACAAAGACTGAGATGGTTAGGACATGTGTTACGTATGCCTAGTCATCGCCATCCTCGACGAGCAATGTTAGCGGATATATGGTCAGGCTGGAAAAAAGCTAGCGGAGGTCAAAAGAAAACATGGGACCAGTCAATGAAATCTACAACAGTTAGTGTACAGCCACGTAGGAAGGTGTAGACTTCCAGGCTGGGGTCCTCGGGACGGTAAAGACAAATGGTTGGAAACAATTGGTGACATGGCTCAAAATCGTTCTCAGTGGCGCAGATGCATCCACTCCCTGTGACTTATGATCTTCAATGAAACTGTTTTGTATTTCTTTATTACTCTTTTCTCTCACACCTCTGCTCACTGTCTCTATTGTGCTTTTCTTGTACTTTGTTCTCTTGCTTCGCTTTTTTTTTTTTTTGTGGCGACTTGAACTTCCGCACATTTGTGCAAAGTTCTATGTCGAAAACAGACAGACAGACAGACTTCGTGCATCTGCCTACTCATGACTCTAACCAATAGAAAGAACCACAGGCAACTCTATATCCTTCACTCATGCTCAACAGTCATCACCAACTGATTTCAATTAACAATCAATCGATTCCCTGAAAACCAACACTTCACAATTCCATTGACTTTTGCTTATAACTGGGATGGATGCAAGCGCCCACTAAACCACTAATTCTCTAATCTGAATCAGCGCTATTTATTATGTTAGTTAGTTTTTTTTTCTCTCAAATCACATACTTTCACAGTAACGCCATGGATTCTTCCCAGAGGACCGCACACTATTTCTATTTATTATATAGGACCATTGTGAGCTGTCAGTTGGCATCGTTTAACGGTAACAACTACAATGGTATCTTATCATCTTGGAAACTCTGAATTCCGCTGTAGTTTGTCTGGAAATCAATCAAACCAGAATTTCACCCTCCTAAACATAACACATCTGAACACCATTTGTATTATTGATATAATATATTGAACTTGTGCCCTGTGGATAAAATTTAATTTGAGAAAGTCTCATAGTGTTATACAGTAATATTAACTGATGACGTTTCGAGCACAAACTATTACTGATTATAATCATATCAAGTTACACACACACACAACTATTTTTCCTTCATTTATATACATGTGTGGAATCGATTATTACTGCTAGTCAAATCGGAAGAGGATAATATATAATCCCAAAATTCTATTTCAATTCCATCACATCACAACATTCTAACAAGTTACTCATTATAACTATAAAAACAACCGTTTTATTTCCCAACTGATTGTAATTGATCAATAACACTCATATTAATAATTCTGAATGCACATTATCCTATATTGATTTTTAATCCAATATCTAGTCAATTCCACACATGTATATAAATGAAGGGAAAAAGTTGTGTGAGCTATTTGATATGGTTATGAGTAGCAATAATTTGTGCTCGAAACGTCATCAGTTAATATGACTATATAACACCGTGTGATTTATCGAAATAAAATCTTATCTATAATAGAGTTCACACATCCGAAGACAAACATTACACAGCCCAAGTCCTACTTCATTGTTTCACCATGCAAGGAGTTATACACAAAAACCTTTGTCTTGATCAACCAAAGCTGCCCAAAGTTAAGATTTCCTCTGCTGCCGACAACCCGTCGAAAGCATCAGGAAGCATGACTACAGAAGTGGGAGTAAGACAAGCCCACTCATCTGCATCACCACCCACTCACACAGGCACAACTGAAAGTCTTGCAAAATCTGTACACAGACACTGCACCAAGTTGAACACAACTTCTGATCTTCAAGTATTGGTTTGTACAGATTTAGTTGATTGGTTACAGGATTTCATCATGAGCTGACATTGTTTAGAGAACCAGTGGAAAACCTGAGAGTACTGGACAGCCCTATTCAGGTAGGTAGTTACCTGGGGTGCCAGTGGGAAGTCGTGATCAGTAGGGTGCAGCAGGTCGGGTGTGAGGACAAATACTCACCGAAGGCATTGGCTAGCGGTTGCGCTATATCGTGAATTGGCAGAGGTTAAAATCCATGAGCCATTGGATTGGGTCCCAGAGGCTTAATGGTCTACGAGCTCTCCTTGTAACCAGAAGGTCCTGAGTTCGAACCCTGGTGGGTGCGTACTGCTGAAGAGTCCCAAACTTGGAAGAAACCGTTGTCCAGTACTCCCAGGTTTTCAAATGATTCTTTAACCAATTTCAGTTCATGATAAAATCTTGCAACAACTCCTGAACGTCGGCGAAACCGTTTACAAGCACCAGCATGCGACCCCAGTAACTAGGTCCAACTAAATGTCTTTTATTTGGACCAACTCTTCAATGTACGCATTTACAGCTCGACTGTCAGAAGAATAGCAAATTACAGACTTGTTCAAGTACAAATCACACCGTCAGCGACACACACACACACACACCTAGAGATGACAATATCAGCTCTATATAGTTTAATCAATTGGTGAAACTCCGATTCCCCGCAGTAACAGATCTTTCTTACTCATTCGATTATCTATCAGCTACAGCTCGTGTGTGTGAACACTGCTTGTCATATACTACTCACTCACTCAGATCAAAATAATAAGTATGACTGTATTCCAGCCGGAGATTCACTAGTTAAAAGTCAAGTGGTTAAACAAGGTAGTCAGGTCACTCAACCACCTCAACGTATTACCACGACAGCGAGGCGAGGCCAAAGAGTTCGATTTCTGAGAGACACACTCCAAAACACTTCGTTTACTACTCGTCGCCAGTAAACTCGGAGAACACGAGGGTTTGGGAGTAAGATTAGCAATCCTACAACTCCGTGGACGAACAACACAACTAACGAGACTTCAAATGCCTCAGGTTCCATCTTCTACTTGGGACTCATGGAGTGAGAAATAAAAAAATTCCAACTCAATTTGGCTAAATGTCTTTGTGTATCAACATGGTCATCATTGTCAACCTTCTCCTATAAATAACTCACCGACTACTACTCCATAACACTTACGGTATGTTAGTCTCGCATGATTCATTAGTCCGTCACTTGGAATTTCACTAAAAACACAATAAATTTTGATATAAGAAAAAACTTGTGCACTGTGGTAGAGTGTAATTCCATTATGGGTAAATTTTGTTTTGACAGAGTCTCACAGTGTTATACAGTAATGTTTACTGCGTGACGTTCCGAGCACAATTTATCACTGCTCGTAATCATATCAAGTTAATCACACAACTTCGTAAATTCATTTATATATAGTCCCTTTGTTTTTCACTTGATTTGATTGATAGTATGAGTGATGAATCATTTCTATTGCATGTGTTGGGTGTAGACTCGATGAACAAGGATTCCGTAATCAACCTCTCCACCTGCATAGATTACTGTTTAGAATTGTAACCCTCTCCCACTCTATTATATGGTTGTGTGTTAATGCATGCAGTGCAATGCAGTGCTGAGCTTTTTTCTAAATTACTTATCTTCTCGGGGTCAGTCATTCTTACCTTAGCTAAATTCTTATGTCCTGACAGTCTGACTACCCTTGACCTACTAGTATGACCTCACAGTCATTGCCGGGTATTTTGTAAATTATACTATTGTGTCTAATTGGGTCAACTGGGTCATTTAACCTACAGAGCTTGCCCCTGAGTGAGTTTGTAGGAGGGTTTAAATGCCACTTTAATTCCTGCTTTATTTAGAATCCTACGTAGGGTCTCAGATGTCCCCTCTTTATGTGGTATGACTGTAGATGACTTATATTCTCTCTTATTTATGTTATTATTACTAGTTTCACAATTATTTTTATTTTGGCCTTTTTCAACCTTCCTAATGAATTTAAAGGATAGTTATTTAACACCAACGCCTCTTCTATCTGTTTTATTTCATCATTTAGGTAATTTTATGTGCTACTTGGTGCCACTGCTTGGTTTGTTAAATACTTAACTAAGCCTGCCTTAACAGTTAACGCATGAGATGAATTAAAGTCTAAATATATATTATAATGCGTTGGTTTTCTATAAACACTAGTGTGTAGTTTGCCTTCTATTCGTTTTATTTTACAATCTAGCATAGCTAATTCTCCTTGTTCATTTTCCGCTTCAAATGTGAATTTTATTCGCTTCACTAGTGAGTTTATGTGTGTCAAGAAGCTAGAGATATGTTCTGTTTTTAACACTGTGAAAGTGTCATCCACATATCTCCACCATATTTTTGGAGTAGGATTAAACGTATTAAGAGCCATATTTTCCCAGCTATCCATAAATATATCTGCTACGATAAGGGATATTGGTGATCCCATTGCTACACCTTCAGTTTGTCCATATATTTCGCCTTGGAATTTAAAGATACTAGATGTGAAGCACAACTGAATTCCTAAAATAGTTTCTTCAATGGGTAGTTTCGTCCTATAAGTGAGTTCAGGGTCTACAGTTAATTCTTTTTTAACTGCTTCCAAGGCCATACTGATTGGTATGTTAGTATAAAGACTAGTTATATCAAAACTAACCATTATTTCATCATTCTTTAGTTGAATGTCATTTAGTTTATTTTTCATCTCAAATGAATTAGCTAGTCTAGATTTTGAGCGATTTCTAATGGGGCATAATATTGGAGCTAAGTGATTTGGTAATTCATAAGTAGGAGTATTCCTAAAGTCTACTATTGGTCGTATGGGGTACCCCCTGGTTTATGTATTTTAATAGTACCATACATTCTACTAGCATTATTAGTTTTAGGCATTAAATTAGACCATTTTGACTCACCCAGTGACGGCTTTATTCTGTGTATTAATTCCGCTGTGGAATTTTTAACCTTATTCATTATTGTATCTACAGGCTTCTTAATTTTCTCATATGAACCCATCTCAATATGTTCAGTGACTTTCTTCATATAGTCAGATTTATCCAAGACTACTGTCGAGTTTCCTTTGTTAGCTTTTGTAATGACGATGTTTTTATCCTGTTTTAGACTTATTAAAGCTAGTCTTTCCGATGTTGTTAAGTTTGATTTGGTTTTCTTTTGGTTTTTCAGGGTTAATGCACATTATGCTCGAAACGTCATCAGGAAACATTACTGTACAACACTGTGAGACTTTATCAAAACAAAATTTACCCATAGTGGAATTAATTACACACTAAATTTTCACATTCAAATTTTTTGTGCAAATCAGACAGGATATGGAAATAAAATTACTCTAATTGATGAAATCTATCACCACATCACATCAATTACGCATCTTCATTCTCCGCGAACACTGCTCTCTCACAGTCGAATACATATTCATACGTAAGTCAAAAATTTTAATTGTTCGATTTTTCCTATGGGGCTGCAGTAGTTCACTCATTTACTAACTACTACTCGACTACCAAACAACTGAGTCACACAAATTCTAACCCTACCCTATCATCATCACCAGCACCACCACCACCTATCAAGGTTAGTACAACCATGAGAGTAGTGATAGAAGTATATATGTATCACTAGTCAACTGAATGGGCATCCAAGTGATTGGTTCTCTTCACTACACAGTGGAAAAAAAACCAACACCACAGAACCACGGAAACTTCAAACCATCCTACATTTCCACTTGAAATACAAAGAAGGCTGTCATCCATCGAATGGAAACCGATAAGTTCGACGACTTGTGGCTGGCTAGCTGGTTGGCTGAAAGTGAAGTGCAGGCGATATGATGCCACAAAGAAGTGAAAACTAGCGCATATTATTTACTTATCGAATCAGATGAAGACGACAAGTGAAGAAAACAAGAGATTCTCTCTTTCTCTCTCTACACTGAAATCAAATCAAAAACAATATAAACACAATTATTTCATTGCTTACCTTCTCGTCATTTGTAATTCCATCTAATTTATTCATTAATGCATACACTTGATCAAATTTTGGTTTAAATTCTGTAGTTATTAAATGTAAATATTTTTGAAGCACTGATGAGAGATCCGAAATTCTATTCAGTGCTTCAAATCTTCCATGAATATCTGATTCAACATTATCCAACTGAATTTCTATTTCTGATATTAATTTTGGTAATGATTCACAATTGTCTATCAATGAATATTGTAGACTTTCATAATCTTCATTGACGCGTTGAAGTTTATCTTTATATGATTCTATCTAAAATTAAAAATGAAAAAATAAGGCAAGGGGGTGGGGGGGCAAATATCAGTTAACAATGACAACTATTGACTGACAGACCGACAGCCAGACAGACTGGATTGACTAAGTTTCTCATGTGGGACTTTGTACAGAAGTGCATGGTGTGTAGCAGTAGCGTAGTAGTTCAAGTTGCTTGACAGCCGTCTGGAAGGACATTAAAGATTTGATATGTATCCATATAATGTGTGTTTGTTTGACAGTCTGATATATTTTGCTATGTATATATGGATCGATATTCCATTATAATTAGCCAATCATGTTAAGACTGTCTATTGATTTGTTCATTTTGAATATTCGCTCACACACTTGTGTTCACACACTTGTTCGGACATTCACACTAAATTGCTCTCACACACTTGTGTGACATTGATTCTCCTTGTGTTTGGAAAATAGAAGTATCATCGCAAACCTAGTGGTCTTCTGATTTCCGTCTTTCTTGCGTCAGGACTATTAAATTCTCGACCAGTACATAACAAGATTATACTCTTATACTTAAGTCATCTACAGGAACATGTTTTTTATTTCAAACCTATTGCTATTACCTCTCTTTTGTCTAAAAACTATAGGAAAGTTACTCTTACTCAAACCTAAAAATTCACCTAAAAGCCTTTAACAACACCCCAGAAACAATTCGCCTACAAAATAAACACAGTAAAAGTACTTTAGATGCAGTTGCAGTCTTGCATGCATAACATTCTCCCCAGTTCAGACAAAGGGGGGGGCGGGCTAAATTTGTTCGATGCACCTTCCTAGATTACACATCTACCCCTTCGACTCAGTCAGTACCTAAGGAAATTTTGTTAAATGAGCTTGCTGAAACTCAAACTGACTGTTGGGTTGTCACAAATGGCTGCATTCTTATTTCTCAGGAAGAAGGTAGTACACTGTATGTCAAGGAAAGTCGTCAACTTTGTTGCTTACTAAGACTGGTGTCCGTCAAGGCGCTGTCCTTTCTCCTTTTCTGTTTTCTTTCTTCTTGAATGACTTGTCTCGCTCTAATGATGAAATGAAGTTTGTTAAGTATGCCGATGATCTAACCATTTCAATGTCTGTTAACTCCCAGCTAGACTGTAATAAGATGAACAGCTTTCTATCAGGAATTAGCTTTAAACTAAATCCTTTCAAATATCAGACTGTTAATTTCAGTTTCCGATGTAAAAGAAAGTTAAATGAAGCTGTTGGTTCCTTTGACCATTGAAAAATTGATGATAGTGATATAGACATCAAGTCTGAAGTTAATTATTTTGGATTAATTCCCACATCTTAGCGATTTTTAAAAGAATATTTCGTCTGACTTTTTACACTAAGAAGTGGAGGCACTCAGGCATAACTTAACCTCTTCTCTCCATACAGTTTGTCAACTCGTGCATCTTACCTATTCTTCGCTATTGTTCACCCTTATTCTTTCCTGGATTGCTTAAAAAAGACTATGTCATACTTCGTAGAACTCTGAAGACTGTCTGTCAGTAGAGCGAGTGGTATCCCACTGAGCCATATCGTTGACATTGTCACTGATAGGCACTTGATGTTATGCAACAAATTTTGTCAGACTCTGAGCACCCACTCTACCCGCAGCTCCAACCTTGTGTCTCCTCAGGTAAAACAAGAAGTCTTTTCACAAGACTTTATGCACGTACGTTCAAGTATAAAAATTCCACTATACCATATTTGACGGCACGTATTTTATGTGATATAAAATGGTGTCAGGCATGAACTAACTAACCTTCTTTCCACTACTAAATAAACCATTTCCCTCACCCTTACAACATCAATCTTTATCGTTATTGTACTTCTTATATTTATAATCCTCTCAATTTTTTGCTTTTATTTATTTTTTCAAAAGTGTGAATATCATTCAAGCTGTGTTTTAACTGTTAATTTTGTACTTTCCCTCACCACACTACATCAAGAGAACATTAGATTCAATAACCTATAACATGCTAGAATTTCCTAACTGAATCAACAATACTGTTATTGTTATTATTATTATATTTAATAATCTCGATTCGTGCTTCGAATATTTTTGACTTTATATCGTGAGCGTGGACAAATTCCTCTGGTTAATTTTGTTTTAATTTTATTTATATTTTGAATAAATCAGATGCAATACTGTGACAAATGCTAAGAATTACATTCTGTATTATAAGTACTGTCTGTTTTGGAATAAAGTAGTTTGTTATTATCATTATATACGACACAACACAGGTAGAGGGAAAAAAATCATTCAAACGAACTATTCATAAGGAGCAGAAATGTGCCTGGGAGAAACATGAGGACTGAATGATTTTGCGACACACACACAGAGACAGAGAGATTAAAAACAGTGAATACATAAGGGTGTGTGGGTCATTCACAATCATCTTCAGATATATAACTGACAGTCTCCAGCTACCGCTTCTTAGCATCGCAACTACCTCAAATGGGAAGTTTACATAGACCCACCCACCGTCACCCAATGCTACCACCTTATGTGGGTCAAACCAACAGCCACTGATAGAAGATATCAACCTTCTATTCGAACAAGACATATAAGCGAACATAACTGTTGTTTTCAATTAGATCTTCAGGATTTACTCTAATTGACATAGATTTATATATTAAAAATTTTAACCAATGACGGTAATTTTTTGGATCAAATAATAATAATGTGGTAAATGTCTTGAATAATGATAAAAAAAGTATTGATAATAAGGTTTATGCAGGTGGCGAGAAGAATAACAAACGTAGTAATGTCTGAATATGTAGACAATTCAATAAATAAATAAATTAGGTCAAATCTTAAGAGTTACGTAACACTAAAGGTGACGTGGACAGATAATCAGAGTTTAAACAAATATCATAAAAGTCTGTCTTTTTTCAACATAGAAATTTTCTCCGATGTGGAGCAGTTCGAGTTGCCACACTCCCTCCTTGTAGCATACAAAGCAAGAGAAGAAAATAAAAAGGAATGCAAAACATAGACAGTAAACAGAGATGTAAGGCAAAAAGAATGGTAATAACGAAGAGCAATATCGTTTCACCGGGAATTATAAGTCACAAAGAGTGGATGCAACTGCGCCAGTCATTAGGAACCATTTTGAGCCATATCACCGTTTGTTCCGGCCATTGGTTTTACCGTCCCAGGGACCCCTACCAGGAAGTCTAAACCTTCCTACGTGGCTTAGACTAACTGTCAAGGATTTCATTGGCTGATGAAGACATGTTTTGGTTTGACCACTACTAGCTCTTTTCCAGCCTGATCCATCCTATGTCAGCTAAAACTGACCGTCGACAAAGGCGATGGTTAGGCTAAGCATGCCTAACACATGTTCTAACCATCCCTCTCAATCGGTGTAATTTCACAACCTCATTGATTGGCTCCCCCTCCTTACCTAGCACTCGACCGAAATCCAACCCCCATACATTACTCGCTTTATTATACCACTCAACATGGGAGATAGAACGCAGGCACCTATGACCAAAGACAGCCAGCCAGGCTTCGCATGTCTTCCACTCTCTACGGCCATGTCTCGCTCACAGCCATAAAGAAGGACGGAGCAGACTGCTGAGCAGTACATCCTCCCTTTGATCGATAGCCAGCCGGATATCATGTCTGCTAAGCCAGAGACAGCGTAAACTGGCATATGCGAAAATAGCCCTCTGCTTAGATTTCGTCAGCGATCAACCCGTTGGGACGAAGGAAATGGAAAATAAGGAAGGGTGGGATGGTTTCGAATAGAATTTACCTAGGCCAAGAGAAAGGTAAAAGGTAGAACAAACCTTTTTTGTCGTATGCGAAAACTAGGAGTATTCTCTCGAATTAATTCCCATAGCTTCGGCTGTGTAAAAGGTGGGTTCGAGTTTCATTCGAAAGGTTCAATGGAATGCAATATATAACTATGCAGGCACTTCTTGCGTCCACTTGGTGATCGATTTCAACTAAATGAGTCAAAATAGAACTTCTTATAGATTTTATTTGGCCTTTTGTTATGATTATAATCATAGTTATTAATGACGCTCAAAACATTCACCACATTATTGGTACTATCATTATTATTAACCCTATTTGATTCACAAAACTACCGTCATTGGTTAAAAATCTAAATATATAAATCTATGTAAATTAGAGTAAAGCCTGAAGAAGATCTAACCGAAAACAATATTGTTCGCTTACATGTCTTGTTCTAATATTAATAATGGGAATATTTATAGCTTTTTTTCTGACCAACCTTCACTCTCCTCTCCACTAACCTAATCAATCCTACGTCACCCATTACTCTTCCACTTCTGAATGTATGCGAGCATTAGTTAAAGTATGCTTATTTCGAAATCCTTAGTGTCACTCAACTTATCATAGTATGCAAAATATCCTTCAAAAAAACTTCATATAGTCTAACAAAGTATTTCGCCCTCTGAACTCTAGTCCTCCTTCTCACAGTCTACGCATCGAACAACAACAAGTTTGTTGTTGATGCTATACATAGATGATACGCTTAGCTTATATGGTGATAGAAATCAATGTGACTCCAGCTCTCTCATTTATAGCATGCATATATATATATATATATATATTAGGTGAAGACTATGATAAAGTGGAGGGTCTCCTGAACACCCAGAACAGAGAGCTACAAGTGTCTCGCATGCGATTTCATCCTGCCAAATGTACGATGATCCTGCACGATTCAGCTGCAAAAACTCCTAGCTTAAAGAGAGAGGGGAGTGAAGTGGTAATGTGTCGAACACTTCACTTACGGCTGTCACACATGGTCGTTGTAATCACAAAATACTAAAAGGCCAGCTGTCTTTCATCACAGGTGTCCGCTTCTTCTCCACCGCCTTATATGGTATAATATGGTAAGCAATATCGAGGACACATGAAGTGTATTGGGTAAAGACAATTGGCCACAACAAACAATCAGGTCGTGAAGCTGTGTCGGTTGAAATGGCTACACCATTAATTACCCATGAGAATCCACACTAACATCGACATGCAATGTTAGCCAACAAACGATTAGGTTAGGGAGAAGTAACAGATGGTCAAACCAAAGGCTGACATTCAGTCAGTCAATGAAATCGCTCACACAGAGTTTAAGCCGTGTATAGGAAGGTGTACACTCCCTGGCCGGGGTCCTTACAACTCACACAAGGACTAATCACCAATGGAATCAAACTATCGCAGATATGGCTAAAAAATCTTCCTCAACGGTAGAGGTGCATTCACTCCTTGACATTCCCCCATCCATTAAACTTGAATGTTTTTCCATGTTTCTATTCATTCTCCACCACATTTCTGTTTATCATAATACTTCCTCCTTTTCCTCCACCTTCTTGTGTTACATGGAATGTGGACACACTCGAACTGTTGCACTTCTGCGCTACCTTCTATGTTGGGTCTCAGTCAGTCAGGAAGGATACATAGATGAATGGAAGTACCAGGTATCTCTCTGCACACTTCCATCACCTCAGAAACCGTATACTTATTATGCAGCTTCGTCATTTTCTATTCATTCATACATTGTCATTACAATTTTTCTCCTTTCCTCTTTCTTTCTTCCTTTCCGACTGTTACTCATCACTCAGACAGGATTAGAAACCATGCTTCCTATCTACTTTTAGTCTCACAGTCCCACAGTCGCATACTGCAGTTTCCAATATCTCAAAACTATATGCCAGATAGTACAACTAATTATTTTACAATCATAGATCAGGCTACAAATCACTATTGTATCAATCAGTCACATAAACTTAAGCATAACTAACTTGATCGGTTAAATTCCACCTAAAAATAATCAAAATCAGCACTCTCTCGTCTCATGAATAGTTTTGTCCTCTAATACAATAGAACAAAATCCACTCTTCACCTGCATCTCAGTGGATATTCACATTCATGTGAGTGCTGTGCACTGTGTTCACTAAATGGATTTGTGGCAACAAATAAAAACTTTGCATACACACACACACCTATATATTCATATCACATTTCGTAGTCTACGCCCAGATGGTCGTTCATCTCTCAGTCTCAACGAAGTGAATTATTATCTTTATAAGCCATCTAGAGAGTGACACATCAAAACAGCCTACAAGGCAGTAGTGACAAGGCCAAATAACACAATAATAACCCTAATATAAAAAATGAACAAGAAATAGAAAAAAGGAATCAAAGGTGCAAGATTGATCCTACCTTATAATAACAAGAAACGCCAATGCCTCCAACTCCAACTGAAATTTACCAGTTCACATGTATCCCCAGTACCATGTACATACATACAAAGGGCTCAGAGGAAAGCGTCCAATGACTAGATGATTCCTTCCCAACCATATCCTTAGCCGTACTTTTATGAAAAGTGGAAAAAGTGTTTCAAGTTCTATCGCTGCTAATTACCTCACTGACAGGCAATATACACTTCAAATCAATAAAATCTTCAAAATAATCAATAAACAGAAACAGAGAGAGCGCGATAACGAACACTCTGGTTAGATCAGTTTGCAGAAACCATTCACAACACAAGTAGGGACAATTAATGTGAGTCACTAGCGAAATTCCCTGTCATCCCCAGTAGGCAGGATACGCCTCGAAAAACTTGCTTTTCAGTATATTCTCACTTCCAGTTCATCTAACAACTAAACCACATCAACCGATACCAAACTTATGTATGCCAGAAAACGAAACATACCTGATGCTTTTTCTCTTCACATGAAGAAACCAATGATCGGTAGAGATCTTCTCTAGATGCAGCCATAGCATTCTTCTCAGCATAGCATGACTTGAAGCGGCACAATTCTGCCTCAAGACCTTTGATTCTCTCGCGCCTCTCACACTCTGCTTCTTGGAGACGCTGTAGCTCACACTCTCGAGTTCTATTCGATTCCAATAATTCCTTATACATATTCCTACTTTCGCTTGATGAATCAACCACCTTTCGAAAAGGAAATCAAATGCGTAATTTCGTTCGACACAAACTGCGTGTATACTCACCTCGAGAACTTCTGTAAAATCACAGTCGAACCACGAGACGAAAACCGAGAGAAAGGGTACCCATCTACTCCGTTCTCTCTGTTCACTAAAATCATTCAAAGTAAAATGGCCCTCGAATCCTAATTTCCTGGCTGTTAATATCGTAAATGTGATAAATTCGTGCTTCCAGGGCTTCTTCAGCTTTATATCGTAGAAGAGACAAAGAAGTTGTGAGAGTATATCATCCATGTATTCACCTGTTCTCATCGTCACCAATCATAAATACACACATCTGATAATTCACGATTTACCATTATCAAACAGCTTCACTGGATCAACAGGTCTGCCAATCACTACAGACATGTATCTCACCATCTCCACAACATCCATAGTTTCTGAAGTAAACAACAAGAAAGAAAGAAGAGAGAATGGGCATGAAGTTTACACACTTAGAAGTATGCGGAAAATATACACCCTCATGAGGACGATATCTCCATTTTGAAAACCTCATCGTTTTACACAATAATACAAACTTGCACAGACGACACTTAATGTTAGAAATAAATATGCTACATCATGGATACCAAGAGATGTGCCACACAGTCTTTCATAATTTCGGAGACGACTGGGATACTTCGCGGATATCAAGACCGAAACAGGCCTGTTCGCCGAGCCTTTCACTTGAAGCCTCACCCATTGACATCAGCATGATGTCAGTTACAAGTGCAGTTGTAACCAGAGAAGAATGTCATCACAGAGTTATTTTCTCAGATGGCATTGCTTCACTGAGTCATTCTGTAGAACACAACTTCCATCTTTCGAGCCATCAGCACAAAAACCTACTGTCTGAAGGACGATGGGTAATGCAACCTACCCAGTTTCCCAGGATGAATTAGGTGCAGAGTGACTCGAATTCAAAAGCTTAGTACATTTGTTGATAAGCAACATCCCCATTGCCTTATAGGACAATGAATCGACACAATTTATTGATCACAAACAATTTAATTCCCCCATCTCATCTCACCTCACCTCACGAACCAGCTCAAATTTAAAAGTGCGCGGACAGACAAACCGCTGTTAACCGCGCAACCACAAGACATTTGGGCGAGACAAATTATCACTTACACAGTGCAAATGGATTACTGTAGAAATCGCCCAGTAAGAATACGCTAAATCAGCTTTAACAAAAGTGCCATGTAATTAAGCGGATTATTTACAGGAGCGTCTAATTTGACTTACGCGAGAGACAAAAAATATTAATTTTGGAGCATCAAATTCAGTGCAAATCCGCGTTCAGGTTCTGTACTTACTGGTAGCCAATTCATAGAATTTGGTGGTTGTAGATTGACTCAATATGCTACAGACCGGTCTAACTGTAACATAGTCGGGCTACTTGTAGTTAGAATCATTACACGGCAAGAGTATTAAGGCATTTTGCGTAAGATAAAATATTTTGACTGTAACTCGGTTACATCTGGAAGGTTGGGATATGTAGTTCTGAGTCTCTACTAGGAGTAACTTGCAACTTCATGGTCAGTTTCGAGTGAATGGAGAAACTTGTTGATGCAGGTAATAATATCAATGTTCATATTTCGTAAAAACAGGTCATACATGAAATGCAATCCATTTCTACAGGCCCGACTAGATATGCTATAAGCTGCAGTCATGAAATATCAATGAAGTAGTACCATTTCAATTATCTCGGCAGTTGAATCGCAATACAAACAATCAGATCAGGTCCATATGAATATGATATTGCAAGCCCCTCACTAAGGTCGTCACCATGGTTTGTAGGTAACCAGAATTCCGTTTCGTTTCCTAATGATGATTATAGCCAACCGGTTAACGACCTACATTCATGGAGGTTCTATACCCACGCAAAAATTAAGGCTATTTCAGGGAGGGGAGAACGTCCTGAGAAACTGCGAGGTGGAACGAAACACAGTTAGGGATAAAATATCGCTAGAAATACACTTACAAACATATATAAGAGAGAGCTATGGAGTCCTCGGAATGATCATATACGTTTGCAATATGTAATGCTGCCCACCCTCGCCTTACCAGGCAGATCACGTTTCTTATGGAAATACAGCTAACTTCAAACTAGGCGTTGTTTGTTTCATTTTTTTTGCAAAACCAGACGCTAGGGGAGCAAGGAATATAAATTGACAGAGTGAGTTTTAGCTTCATTAAAACTTAGGCATTGAAGATATAATAGAGTATAGTGGTACTCAGGTAAAGAATCTTGTAGAGCACATCTTCGATTTTCTATTCAGAAGTGGCTCTACAGATTTCGGAAAAGTCTTATCTTATCTTCATCTTTTTATGTTTGATTTATCTTTGATTACAGCTTGATTCCACACCGTATTTTTGGTACAGGTATGGAATTTTCAGCATGGATATCGGTAGCCCAAATTTCGCAGGCCGACCATAGATATCAGGTGTGCGTCAGCGTGGGCTCGAACCCCGGACCATGTGCATGGTCGGCGAGAGTCCTAACCACTGTGCCACCGACGCACATGTAGGACATTATTTATTATTATATTATTATTGCTCCCTTGGGTTCCTAGTGGAACATAGGGCTTCAACTGCACGTCTCCATTTTCTTCTGTCTTCTGCTATACTTTTCGCCTGCATCCATGTTAATCCATATTCTTTCAACTCCTCTTCACACGATCTCCTCCATGTCACCCTTGGACGTCCCACACGCCGCTTCCCTTTCGGGTTCCACTCGAGGGCTTGGCGCGCGATGTCACCCAGCGGTCTCCTCAGCGAGTGTCCGATCCATCTCCACTTTCTCCTGCATATTTGTTGGGCGATTGGTTCTTGCTTTGTTTGTTCCCATAATTCCTTGTTGGTGATTCTTTCCGGCCGGCCATCTGATCTTCAGTATAGAGCCAGAGAAGACAGTTGTTAATAAAGGTCTGCAGCCTTTTGGAAATATTCTTTGTGACCCGCCCGCCAAGTTTCTGATCCGTATAGAAGAACTGACTTTACGTTTGTATTGAAAATCCGAATTTTGTTGGTGATGCTGAGTGACGAAGATTTCCAGATTGATTTCAGGCTGATGAATGTGTTTCTCGCCTGCCTTCCCGATTCTCGCTCGATTTGACATCCTCGTCCGCTCCTCCTGTAGTTGAGACAATGCTCCCTAGATAAGTGAATGAAGTAACCTCTTTCAAATCCCTCCCGTTGATGGTGATTGACGTTGGATGTTGTTGCTGTTGTTGGTTGGTTATTTTCATAACCTCCGTCTTGTCTATGTTTACCTGGAGTCCTGTCTTTGCTGCTTCTTCGACCAGTTTGTCGGTTTTCGCTTGTAAGTCTTCGATTTTGTGTGACATCAAACATAAATCATCCACACGCGAAATCCAGGTCTTCTAGGTTCTTCACGTCGGTCGGTCCAGGATATTCCTGTCTTCTCGTTTCCCACAGTCTGACGCATAATCCAGTCCACCACAATTAGGAATATCATTGGTGATAGTAAGCACCCTTGTCTGACTCCTGTGTTTACTCCAAACGCCTCGCTGAGTCTTCCGTTGTGGATCACTTGGCAGGTGCCGTTGTCGTACAGCTGTTGAATAAGGTTGATGAATATTTGGGGTACGCTGTAGTACTCGAGTAATTTCCAAATTACTTCACGATCAACGCTGTCGAAGGCCTTCTCAAAGTCTATAAAGTTGAGGTAGAGGTTTGATTGCCATTCCATGCTTTGTTCGATGATGATGCGTAGAGTTGCAATTTGGTCAGTACATGATTTGCCTTTCCTGAATCCAGCTTGTTCTGGTCGGAGTTCTGTATCCAGTGCGTCCTTTAATCTCTCCAGGATGATGCGACTCAGGATTTTACTTGGCGTCGACAGGAGCATGATTCCTCGCCAGTTCTTGCAGAGTCCTAAGTCGCCCTTCTTTGGTAGTTTCACGAGGTAACCTTTCCTCCAGTCAGTAGGCACCTTTCCCTCCTTCCAGACCCTTTGCTGTCGTCTCTGGGTCTGCTTTCAGTGCTTCAGGGGGTATTCCATCTGGTCCGGCTGCTTTTCCAGCTTTCAGAAGTTTGATTGCATTCAAGACTTCAGCTCTCGTTGGAGGATTGGTGTCAACTTGCAGTTGTGTCGTGCTGTTGTTGGTATTTCTGGACGGGTTGCAGGTGATGGTCGGTTCAAGAGTCCTTTGAAGTGATCCGCCCATTGTTTAATCTGTTTTTCTTCCTTGGTAATGGGCTTCCCTTGGCTGTCTTTTATAGGTTTCGCTTGTGTTGATCTCTTCCCGGATAGAGATTTGGTTATCTGATATAGTGTCCTCAGGTCCCTTTTGCCTGCTGCCTTCTCAGCTTCAGTAGCTAGATTGTCGTAGAATCGTCTTTTGTCCTTCCTAGCAATCTTCTTCACTTCTTTGTCCAGTGCTGTGTAAGTTGAGCTCATCGTCTCCTCCTCCTGTCCGTCCTTGCATTGAATCATTTTCTCTTTCACCATTCTCCTCTCTTCTATTAATTTCCAAGTGTCCGTTGAGAGCCATTCCTTGTCTTGTCTCTTCTTTCTTCCTAAAACCGTTGAACACGTTTCGTTGAGAATCGCCTTCAGAGACTTCCAATGTTCTTCCACGCATGATTCTTCAGTGATGTCGCGTAGTGTTTCCTGCTTTGCTCTGACAGTTGCAGTGAAGGTGTCTTTTGTGGTTGTGTCCTTCAGTTTGAGTGTTGAACTTGCATTGTGGCCTATCCCCAGCTATCCTCGAGGCTTTTAGTATCACCTTGAAAGTCCCTTCTACTAGATAGTGGTCTGAACCCACATCTGCTCCTCTCCTTGACCTTGTGTCCAGTAGGCTCCGTCTCCACTTTCTTGAAATTGAGATGAAGTCTATTTGATTCTTGGTGTTTCCATCTGGTGAAATCCATGTCGTCTTGTGTATATCCTTGTGTTTGAACACACTACCGCCAATCACCAAATCATTGAAGGCGCAGAAGTCTGAGAAGAGTTCACCATTGTCGTTCATTTCACTGAGGGCCTCACGACCCATGGTGAGTTCTCTTCCTGTGTTGTCTCCTCCCAGCTTCGCATTCATGTCGCCCATCAGGATTTTGATATCGCCATTTGGGACGTTGTCCATTATTGCTTGTAGTTGTCTGTAGAACGCCTCCTTCTTCTCTTGTTCTGAGACGTTTGTAGGCGCATAGCATTGAATGACTGTAACTTTCCTTCCTTTTGAGTTGAACCTGGCTGTCATTATCCTGGAGGAGATTGGTTCCCACTGCATGAGAGCTTTGGTTGCTGTTGGTGACATCATGATGGCCACTCCCTCGGTGTGCTCGTGGTTGTCCTCTAGGTGGCCGGAATAGATTACTGTCTCTCCAGTAGGTAGTTGGCACCTTCCAGTTCCGTTCCATCTGCTCTC